ATATATAAATAAGACGTAACATATTTTATATTATATTTTTACTTATTATAAAATAATATTATTTGTAATACAATTAACACGTAAAAGTTGTTGCTACTTATTTATTCGATCTAAATACGGGGTAGCCCATACAGCAGCACGCGGATAGCAAAAATAAAAAAAATGTGAAGTAATAGTAGGGATCGGGTATCCTTCTGTCAAGTCTAGTTTCATATAATGATTTACGATTAACGTACCCAATTGCAAAACTTACATGTTGATACCACAGTGACGAAATATATCTAAGTGGTAAGTATGTTGAACAATCTGTAATATCTATAACATGTAAGATCACATTATACTTTAAAGCAATCAGGACACCACTTTTAGGCATGGTCATCCAATGTTCAACCGGGGCACCTCGATCTGATTGAAAGAAGTTTAGAATATTGTAAACTATATCTCAATACTAACTTCCAAATATGTGTGAGGTATTTTGTCTTGTATGCGTCTAATTCTTCCATCAAGTTAAACTGAATTGTTAGCCATGCATCTTCATGAAGACCAAGGTGGACAGCTATTGCTCGGAATCCACAATTTTCGTCACCTCTCACATCATGTACATGTCTAATGTAAGGGTGAAACATTTCAGGAAATTGATTAATATATGGATGTGCATTATAATTATTGTTGAAGAAAGAATTATGTGTTGGTCCCTTGAGGGTCTACAAGAATAGTAAAACAATTTGTAGAAAGGGCGGGGGGAATGAATACAAACACAATATTTTCAAATTTAAAATATATATTGATAAAGAAGATCAATACAGATTTTACAAGATTGTTTGCGGAAAGATAAGGTGATAAAAACCTATCTAAACAATCTTTAGTTACATACTAAATCTTAGCAATACAATAAAAGAAATGTTGTAAAGAAGATCATTTACTTAAGCAAGAAAATGCTTGAAGTAAGAATTAAGGTTAGAGAGTGAGTTGCGCGCACTCTGCATGGAGAAGAAACACTTCTATTTATACTCAGTGCATTAAATTGTGACATCCGGAAATTTAAATAACAGGTTAGTAGCAAGATAGCACTTTAGAAACATTATTAACACCCAAGTAGAGCGATTAGAGATTAAGTAGTTAGAAATCCCAGAAGGTTGCGTAGAAAACTCTGTTGTGACCCGTAATGAACCGAATCGTCTTATATAATGCCAAGCACTCCAAATAATTTTTAAAACTAGCATAAAATATAGAGTCTTCATATTTTAAATATTTTTACTTAAAATTATATTTAAGRAATTTATTTATCTCATAAAATAGGAATTTGGGCATTTTTCTCAATTTCTCACAAAAGTACCCAACTTATTAAATATTGGGCTAAATTTTTACAAAAAGAAAAAAATGAGAGAGAGAGCCCATAGGCCCACCTAAAGGCCACCAAAAACATGTTGCATGTTCTAAGATGGTGATAATCCATGATCAAACCCAAGTTAAGATCAAGGAAAGAACCTTTGGAGATTTTTACTAGCATCCAAGTGTGTATAGAAGTTTATACTACTTTAGTTTAAAAATAAAGCATAAAAATCTTTCGTAATCATCAAATACCTATTTTAAACTTCATGTATGTGATAATAAATTCATATTTCAAGTGCTAAAAATCAAGCCCAAGGCTTGGATTTCAAACGATTTCTCAATAACAATATTTGATTATCATTTTTAGGACTTTTTGCAAGATAACTTGGTTAATCTTGATGTCATGCATGTAATCATAAAAGTTAAAGGGTGATTTTGATCCAAAAATATATGGTACAAAGATGATAAATTAGTGTATAAAAGAAGAATCAAATTTATAAGTGAAAATGAGGAGTCAAAACACTCATTTTCCATGAGTTAAGAATTTTTGGTTTCTGGCAGATTGCATGCATGAACTTCATTCGATCATATTTTGAAAAATACTTAGTCAAATGGCTTGATTCTTCTTCTGGAGCCTTGTTCATTGAGTTATTTTTCAGACCCAAGTGGTTTCATGTAAAAACTCAGAGATTTGACCTCTCAACCACATAGAATAAATTAAGAGTGCAAGGGATGACCTGTTAGAGTAAAAACTCTGCTTTAATCGGTCATAAGTCTCTTAATATCCCATTAAAATACTTGATTCTTCTTCTGGAAATTAYTTTATTGAATTATCTTTCGAACGAAAGTGGTTTCACTAAAAAATATAGAGATTTGAGGTCTCAAACACGCAAACTAAGTTGAATGTGAATGCAAGCAGAATCTGGCAGATTTGGACATGTGTCTTAAAATGACCATAACTTCCTGAAAACGTAATAAAAAATGATGATTCTTTTTCTGGAAGATAGATATTTGAGTTAGTTTTAAAACCCAATTAGAATACCTGAAAAATATTGAGAGTTAACCTTCCATTTGGATGTGGCAAAAAGAGTGTGCAGGCTGCCTTGGTAACTGTGACACTTAAACTTGAGCATAATGATTAGAATACCTATCCACCACTAAAAATGGTGTTATTTATGTCAAACTTTTCCTAAGACATTAAAATAAAACATATAAATTTTTTTGGAAAAATATACCTCTTGGATGAGGGTGAACTATAGACATATTTGAGTCATAAAGATTCTATCAGCATGCATAATTTACTAAAATCACTAAGATTGGACTCTTATAAACCATAAACCCTATTATAAGCATATAAAGTGCTTAAAACTTGATTTTATTCATAAAGAGGCATTATATAAGACGTAAAGGTAAGAATAGTAACCTTAATCTTTAAGAGTTTGACAACCGTTCGTCTTCTATAGGAATCCTCTAAAAGAACTTTACCAAGGTACACCCATTCAATCACAACCATCTTCTCAGTGAAAGAAAAAGTGAGTTTTCATATCCCCTTTTTACTATTTTCACATTTTTGGGGGAAAAGCATGCTACTAATACTACGTACGGGTTGTTTTATTATACACAAATTGTTACTACGTATCGGTTGTTTTATTATAC